GTTCAAGGCCAGCCTGAAGTTCACAGGGAGACCCTATCTCAAAAAACAAAAAACAAATAAACAGGGCCAGTGATTTAGCTCAGTGGTTCCACTGACTGCCTCACAAGCTCAAGGACCCGAGTTCAATCCCTGGTACAAAAAAAACCAAAAAAACCCAGGGCTGGGGATCTAGCTCAGTGGTTCCACCGCCTGCCTCACCAGCGGAAGGACCCGAGATACCTGGTACCAAAAAAAAAAAAAAAAACCCAAAGCAAAACAAAAACCAAATAAACAAATAAGATCCCATCATTCAGTAACACCACCCTGGAATTTCTTTTTTTTTTTTTTTGGTACTGGGGATCGAACTCGGGTCTTTGCACTTAGGCAGCAGGCGGTGAAACCACTAAGCTAAATCTCCAGCCCTGACCAACCTGGAATTTAAAGTCATCAAGGACTTCAATTTCACTACATTGAGAGCTGACTAAATGTTATGAGACCAAGAAAATAATGTAATAACCTGTCCATTAACTTGTTTCTACTGATCATTTTCTCAACAAAGACAGTATTTATCGAGTGTTTGCACTGTGCCAGGCTTCATTCCAGGTGTTGAGGATACTGCTGTGAATAAAACAAAGCTCCTGCCTTCATAGAGCTTATAATTTTAATGAAAAGAGAAAGATAAACAAATTGAAAAATAATTGATAGTGTGTCACTTGGTCAAATGTGCTATGAAGAAAAATGCATCAGGGTAGCGGGGACAAGGCAAATAGATTGGAATCTCAGTTATTTATTTTGAGATGGAGTCTTGCTCTTTTGCCCAGGCTGGTCTTCAACTCCTGATCTCAAGTGATCCTCCTATCTCAACCTCCCAAATACCTGGGATTATAGGTGCACAACACTGCAACTGGCTTGGGCTGAAATTTTAAACAGGTGATTAGGAAAGGCCTTTCTAATTAAAGGGAGAGCTGAGCAGAGATAGGAGCAAGAGAGTGAATCCTCCAGTTCAGTGGGGAAGAATAGCTCTAGGCAGATTGTACAACTGCAGAAGACTTAATGTGGTCAAGTTCTAGCAATGAGAACGGCATGGCAAGCCGGGGATTTAGCTCAGTGGTTCCACTGCCTGCCTTGCAAGTCCAAGGACCTGAGTTTGATCCCCGGTACAAAAAAAAAAAGAAGAAGAAGAAGAAAAGAACTGCATGGCTGGAGTGAGTGGATGGGCAGAGTGGCACAGGTGGACCAGACTGAAGAGAAATGGTTGTACCTTTTCTATGTGGCTATGCATATAGAAAGTAGTATGGGAAGTAGTACTCCCAGAGAAATGATTTTTAATGCTAAAGTTACAAGTCTAATATTGAGTTTAATAGGGGAGTATGTCTATCTTAGGTAGTTCTTCTTAAGTAGGCCAGTCTAGAAAGCTGATGAAGGAAGTGTGTGGGGGGGGTGAGTGGGTGGGTGTGTATTGCAATCCATGTCCATAGTCAGCTGTGCTAAGGAAGACTGGCCACATACTGGACCTACTCCTTTGAGTACAGTCTAATATTGTCTGGGAAACATTAAATGTATGAACTTTACTCTTCCTTTACTGTCACTAATTGCAATAACTTGGGAAATGTACCATGGGGAAGGAAACTATAAGTTTAAAAGGAAACATGTAAAGAGATAAGCTTGGTGTCACAGTGAACTGAATTTGAATGTGAATTCTGAAATCTACTGGCTGTGTGACCTTGGACAATTCACTTTACCTTTCTGAACTTCTTTTCCATGTTCTGCAAAGTGCAGTCAAATGTACCTCTTACTCAGATTTGGTATGTAGCAGTTCTTCAATAATTAGTAGCAGTAGCACAGGGCATGGTGGTGGAGACTTATAATTAATCCCAGCTACTCGGAACCCTGATGGTGGAGAATCACAAGTTGAGGCCAGCCTGGACATTTTAGTGAGCTCTTGTCTCACAATAATAATACCTTAGAAGGGCCAGGGGTGGAGTGTAGCTCAGTGGTAGAGTTTACCTACCATGCTCAAGGGCCTGGGTTCAATCCCCAATACCACAAAACAAAAATCAAACAAAAAGCTACGTGGCTGGAAGTGCAGCTCAGTGGTAGATCATTTGCTTAGCATGTATGAGGCCCTGGGTTTGATTCCCAGTACCACAAAAAACTAAAAAATAAAGAAAATACATGATTCTTTCCTTCAAGATATTTACAGTCTATTCAGGGAGATGGGACATGAATGAAATGTACTCAAGGAAAAATGTGCTTGCACAAATGACAGATACAGAGCCAAGGATGGTGGCACATACCTGTAATTCCAACACTCGGGAGGCTGAGGCAGGAGGATTGTTGTGCATTCAAGGCCAGCCTGGGCCACATAGAGAGTTCAAGACCAGCCTAATCTACATTGTTTTTTAAAAAATGACAGTTACAAAATATACTAATAATAGCTACATTTACTAAGTGCTTACAATAAACCAAGCATTATGCTAAGTGCAATATAACCCTCTCGTTTTATTTTTGTACCCTCCCTTGTAGAAAGTACTATCATTAGCTGGGCTCTGTGGAGCATGTTTGCAATCCCAGCACTTGGGAGGCTGTTGCAGGTGGACCGCCGGAGCCCAAGAATTGGAGACTAGCCTGGCTGACATAGTGAAAACTCACCTCAAAAAAAAAAGGTTAAAAGTACTATTATTATCTCTACTTTACACAAAAAAAGGAAGTTGAGCCTCAGAGAGAGGAAGTGCATTGCCCAAGGTTGCACAGGTGGGTGGTGGCAGAGTACAGGGGGAGCTCCAGGACTCTCATCCTTATCAGAGAAAACAATTCCTGTAATTCTTAGGCCTCATCCAGATTTTACCATATTGTTTGCCACACCCACCCTTTAAAATTTTAACCCTATTTCAAAATGCAAGTTAAAATTTGGATAAATACTATCATGCCTCAAAGGACCTGTAATTCACTGGACTTTCTGTTTGGAAGCTAGTGTCTGTACTGTAAAAGAGTGGCCCGGCAATTTTACTACCTCCTCCAAGCATTACAGCACTCAGAGCTTGTCTGCCCAATCTTGTGAAGAAAAAGTATCACTATGGCCACCCAAGGTAGAAATCTAGACATTTGCAACTCAATTCTCTCTCTCACACACACTCTAGTTAGTCATTAAATCATGCTATCCCTTTTACATTTTTAAAAATTTTCTCTCACAATTATCTCCCAGCAAGACTTGGTCAAGGCTCCTACTGGCCTTTTTCTGTCCACACTTTGTTTTTCTAAGCTTTTCTCGGCATGGTGGCTAGGGTAGTTTTTGTATGTGTGATATAGAGGCTCAAACCCAGGGAGCACTGAGTTACATCCCTAGCCCTTGTTTCAATTTTATTTATTTATTTATTTATTTATTTATTTATTTATTTCAGTACTGGAGCTCAAACTCAGGACCTTGCATTTGTGAGGCAGGCTCAGAGCCACTGAGCTAAGTCCCTGGCCCTTTCAATTTTATTTTTGAGACAGGGTCTCACTTAAATTCCCCAGGCTGGCCTGGAACTTGTGATCCTCCTGCCTTAGCCACCGACCATGTCTGCCTTTTTTCTTTTCTTATTTTCCCCCTCTTGTGATCCTGGTGTGGAACCGAGGGCCTTGTTCAAGTTAGGCAAGCATACTTCCTCTAAGCTATATCCCTAGTCCCCACATCTATCTTTAGGCTATCATGCAAAGTTCTCTAGGATCTTTTCCAGACTTTTAAAAAAAATTTTTACTTTGTTGAGACAGAGCCTCGCTATGTAGTCCGGTCTGGCCTTGAATTTGTGTCAATCTTCTTGTCTCAGCCTCCCAGGTGCTGAGATTACAGGTGAGTGCCATCACACCAGTCCCTTACCGGTTATTTCATATCCATCTGTTGTTTAAATTTCTTCACTGATAAAATTACAGTGAGAGTAGTACTTGGTTCATAGGGTTGGTTTGATGATTGAACTTAAAAATTTTTTTAAAAATTAATATTTATTAACATTTAATATCACATAGTTAATTCAACGAGTTCTTTATTGTACATAGTGGCAGCATCTTCGCCAAATTGAGTGCTCAAGGGTTTGACATGTGAACTTAAAATTTTTATATTTTGCTCATCAAGTGTTTTTTGCATTAATTTTGTAAAATACATTAAACTATCACCTTAATTACTGAGTTTTTAGTGATCTCTTAAGTTTTGGGCTCCAAGTCAATGCCTCATTTGCCTCATCCTAATCCCTGCTCTGTCCATGCCTTCTCTGTTTGACACATGAGCAGAGTTGAATAATTGTTGAATTTATAAAATAAATTATATGGTATATATATATATATATGTTTCATATTTTTATTTTATTTATTTTTAAATTGGGGTCTGTGTTGCCCTGGCTGGCTTTGAATTCTTGGGCTCAAGTAATCCTACTGCCTCAGCCTTCAGAGGAGGTGGGACTACAGGCACACGCCGTTCCTTTTTTTTTTTTTTCATAGTACCGGAGATAGAACTCGGGACCTTGCACTTTCAAGGCAGACGCCGGAACCATTGAGCTAAATCCCCAGCCCCATTCCTCTATATTTTTTAATTGAGGTATAATATACACAGCAAAGTGAACAAATACAGTATTGCGTATTGCTGACATTCCTAATTGTACACATAACATTATGCTAAGCAGTATAGGGCATCTTCCCTTTTCACCTTCAGGCAGCTACGAAAAAGAAGTGTTTGTAACCTTCTCCCCTTCTCTTTCCCTTAGCTCCCTTACCCAGTCTCATTTTTTCCCCAGAAAATATTGCTAAATTCAAAGGTTAAGTATATCTTTGTTCAGTCTTATCAGTTCCAAGAGATTGCCCACACAAAAACAACTCCAGACAGTCCGACTTGAAAAAAAACCACATATTTTTCTAGAGGAAGGCCTATGACGTCAAGAGCCCCTTCCTTTCCTCCCAGAGCAACTCTTCAGAGAACCCTCGCTTTTTTCATACACCCGCACTGCATCTTGCGCATGCGCCTCTGTTTGGCCGACCGCAAAGAAGCGATTTCTGGTCCTCTCGGCACCCTTACGTTGCGGAGCGGCCGTGTGGAGGTTTGCGCTTAGTCGCCTTCTTGCCGGAAGTGGGGAGAGGAGGAGGAAGGTTATTTGCCCTGGTGTGGGGCCTCGCTGATTTCGGGTACTCTGTGGCTGGGGGCTAACTCTCGCCCCGGATTACGCGGGTCGGTTTAATTCCTAGCAAAGAAGCTAGGGTGCGCACAGAGGTGTTTCTCTAATGTAATTGCAGATTCCTGGATGGCGGCTCCGGAGGACCTGTCCCATCATCTTGAAGGAACTTCACGCTTTCTCCTGGCTGGCTTTTAGAACCATTTTCAGAGAGGCGGAACGCCTGCATTGTTGGCTCCAGGCTCTGCTACTCACTTGCTGTGCGTGTCCTTGTGTTCCTCTTCAAGTCTTCATATCATCAACTATAAAATGAAGCATACAAAAGGCCCTTTAAGTCACCAGTTTTTCTGTAACTTTAGGAATGTTATCGCGTGCCCATTATGTGATTTGACCCATTTAGCTTTGAGGGTTAAATATCACTGGCCCCATTTTATAAGGAAAAGAGTCCCAGGGTGAAGTTACCTGACTTTCTCAAGGTTGCACAGGTAACTTTTGGAGGTTTCAGAACTACAAGGTTTTGCTGTAATTCCATGGCCAGATGTCTGTTACATATTTCTCTGTCAGCAGTTCATAGAACTGGCCACATTAAGCAGATACTATACTCAGTTTTGTATGACTGAATCTTGACTTCAAGGCCAATGCCACGGCTTATCTGGTGTCCCTCCATCACTCTGACATATCAACAAGTGTAACTTTTACAGGTGTATCCTGTGGCTTGTCTGATTGGAAGCTCTAAATCCGGTTCTGTTGTTTTCAACGTAATCAAACAGACAGAATGGAGGCACCTCCAGTCACCATGATGCCTGTCACTGGGGGCACCATTAACATGATGGAGTACCTACTGCAAGGTGAGTGAATCAGGGAGTTTGGGTTACTTGTTTTCCTCTTTTCTGTTCCACACTCCTGGAGATTAGAGACTTACACAAAGGCAACTTGCAGTTTCTGGCAATAGAAAATTATTTTAATTTTAATTTAATTTTAAATTATGGTTTCAAATACACTAAATACATTAAATTTGCCATCATAAACATTTAACATTGCTGTACATCAGATCTCTAGAACTTTTTCATTTTGCAAAACTGAAATTCTATACCCATTAAATATTAATGCCCTTTCCCTTCTATTCCCATTGGTTAGCAATTACCTTTCTACTTTGTTTTCTATTTTGACTATTTAGATATCTGATATGAATGGAATAACATAGTATTTGTCTTTTCCTATTTTATTTTACTTAGCGTAATAACCTTGAGGTTCATCTGTGTTGTAGCATGTGACATCTTTTAAAAAGATGCATGGTTAGGGCCTGGGGATTTAGCTCAGTGGTTTCGCCACCGGTTGCACAAGCACAAGGACCCGAGTTCAATCCTCAGTACCAAAAAGTTGCACGGTATTATATGTATGTGTGTATTATATAACATGCATATATACATCTTACATTTTCAATATCCATTCATCTGCTGATAGACATTTAAGTTGCCTCCGCCTTCTGTCTATTGTGAATAGTGCCACAATAAACATGAATGTGCAGGTATCTTTTTGAAATGCTATTTTAAATATTTACTCAGAAGTGGGACATACTGAATCATAATGTTTTTTAGATTTTTGGAAACAGGGTCTTGTTGTGTAGCCCCAGCTGATCTCTAACTTACTAAGTACCCAAGGCTGGCTTCAAATGCACAATCCTTTGGGCTCAGCCTCCCAAGTGCCAGGATTAAGGCATGTGCTACCATATCCAGCTAATTCTATCTGTTATTTATTTAGCCACCACGCCCAGCCAAAGTTTTTAATTTTAATGAAATCTAGCTTATTCTTTCAGGGCTCATGCCTTTGAAATAATATAGTCATTGCCAAAGCCATGGTCATCTATAATTCCTCCTTGTCCCCTTTTATCCTTTTGGTTTACATTTAGCTCTGTGGCCTATTTTGAATTAAGTTTTGTGAAAAGTGTATATCCCAAACCTTTTCAAAGATGTGAACATTCGCCAGGTGGACATGGTGGCACACCCCTGTAATCCCAGCAGCACTTAGGAGGCTGAGGCAGGAGGATTGCCGAGAGTTCGAGGCCAGCCTGGGCTATGCAGTGAGTTCAGGGCCAGCCTGAACTACAAAATGAGATCCTGTCTCAGAAAAAACAGAACAAAAACAAAAAAAAGATGTGAACATTGCCATCCCCCCGGAAAGTTCCTTCTGTGTGAGACCTCATCCTACTCATCGCTCTCTGATTGTGCAAACTGCTCTTGTGATTTTTTTCCCACAGCAGATGACTTTTACCTGTTCATAAACATCAAACAGTGGCATCATGTAGATTGTACTCTTTTGTTTTAGTCAGCATAATTATTTCAGTATGTATTCATATCGCTGTGCATATCAGTAGTGTGTTGCTTAGTGCTATGGCATTGTACAAATACATTGCAATGTGTTTATCCATTCTGCTATGGTTGGGCACCTGGCCTATGTCTAGTTTTTGGTTACTGTGAATACTTGCTGCTTGAACTATCTTATAAATATTTTGTAGGCACGTTTTCTCTTCTCTTGGGTCAGTACCCAAGAGTGGAACTGTGAGTCAGCCAGCTATTTTTTTTTTTTTTTTTTGGTACCGGGGATCGAACCCCGGACCATGCGCTTATGAGGCAGGTGGCGGAACCACTGGGCTAAATCCCCGGCCCCAGACAGCTATTCTTTTAGTTAAATGTAGTGATTTCTGAAAGACGACTCAAATAATTTTAAAAATAGTGATAGTAGGGGTCAGGGATTTAGCTCAGTGGTTCTGGTGCCTGCCTTGTAAGCTCAAGGTCCCGAGTTTGGTCCCTGGTACCAAAAATAATAATAATAATAATGATAGTAATAGCTAATGATTTTGAGCCTCTGCCCTATACTTTATGTGTATTGGCCACTTATTTAATTTTTGTTTTTGTTTTTGATTTTTTTTTTGGTACTGAGGATCGAACTCAGGACCTTGTGCTTTCGAGGCAGGCGCCAGAACCACTGAGCTAAATCCCTGGCCCTGTTATTGTTTTTGTTTTGTTTTGTTTTTTTGAGACAGTCTCACTATGTAGTTCAGAGTGGCCTTGTACTCAATATACAGCCAAGGCTAGCCTCAAACTCTCAGCAATCCTCCCGCTTCAGCCTCCCGAGTGCTAAGATTACAGGCATTCACCACCATGCCTACAATTCTCATAACAACTTATAAGATGATACTTTTATTAGCTCTTATAGATCAGGAAACAGTGGTAAGGTAACTTGCCCAGATGAGAAAACTTGAGACCCAGGGAAGGTACTAATTTTTAGGTCATAACAATGTTTTGTGAGAGATTTTAGATTTTGTAACTTAAGAGAATTCATTCAGTAACAGTATGAACAACTATTTTGTGTTTTCTGTGTCTGTTTGTATTTGTGTGGTATTGGGGATTGAACCCAGAGCCTTTGCACTGAGCCACAGCCCATTTTTTTATTTTGGGACAGGGTCTTAGTACATTGCTGAGTTGCCAGACTAGGCTCAAATTTAGGATCCTTCTGCCTCAGCCTACCAGAATGCTGGGATTACAGGTGTGGACCACCACTGCCCAACCACTTTCATTTCCTTGAATTTGCCACACCCTTTCCTGCCTCAGTGTCTTTGCACTTGATGATCCCTCTGCCCTGAGAACATTTTCTCAGCTATTCAAATAGTCATCTCATTTTCGCCCTTCAGGTCTCCACTCAGTTGTCTTCCTCTTAGGCCTTTTCTGAACATTCCAACCTCTCATAGTGGTCCATCCTGCCTTCCCACCAGTTTTCTCATATCTCCCTTTTATTTCCTTGAGTTTCTGTTTATTTGTTTACTTGTTATTTTTGTTTCCTCCCCTCAACTGTAATCTCCATAAGAGAGTGCCTCCTACTGCTCAGTGTCCTGCACTGCATTCAGTACATGTGTTGAACAAATCAGCACTTACACAGCACCTAAAATGAATGAACGTGTGTGCTACTGCCCTGAACGTAGAATACAATGGTGAGCCACTCCCTGCTCCCGACTTCTTGTATCCCATGATTACTAGGACCTGGTCCATCACTTTTCTTTAGCCCTACTTGTTTTCATTTAAGTCCCACTGTCAGCTTCTGCCATAAAGTGACAATTGAGCAGAGACTTGAAGAAAGTTATAGAGTAAAACATGCAGCTATACAAAGAAAGAACATCCTAAGCACAGAGAAAAAGGGAAGGCTCTCTGAAGAGATATACATTGTGAGATACTTGGCATTTTCAGGCAATAGCAGCAAATCACTGGCTGGAGAGAATGATCAAGGGGGAGAGCTGAAGGTGATGTTGGATGGTAACAGATAATATATAGGGCCCTGTAAACAGTCATAAAGACCATTTTATTCTGGGTGACACAGCAAGGAATATCATTTATAGTATATTTATCCATTATTTTGGGGTGCCAGGGATTGAATCCGGGTCCTTAAACTTGCTAGGCAAGCACTCTATTGCGGAGATACGCCTCCAGCCCCATGCCTTTATTTTGGTACTGGGGATTGAACCCTGGGCTTCATGTGTCCCAGGCAAGCACTGTACCACTGAACTATATCCCCAGCCCTAGGCCTTAGATCTTAAAAAGGCCACTTGGCTGTTTTGGAAAAGAAAGAAGGCAAGAGTAGAAACAGGCTACTGCAAAGACCAGTCAAGAAAGCAACTTGGACTACTGATCAAAGGAGTGAAAGGTAAATTTGTAAAAGTACAAATTTTGCTTTTATTTCAAAAGTATGGATTGGATGGATGTAGGATGTGGGAGAAAGAAAGGAGTCAAAGATGATTCCATGATTTTTAACCTGGGTAACTGTTAGCAGAAAATTGCCATTTACTCTGATGGGTAAAACTTTAGGAAAAATAAGATTTAGGGAGGGAAAATCAACAATTTCATATTAAACATGTATGAAGATGTATGAACTGGATGTGGTGACGCACCTGTAATTCCAGCATTCTGGGAGGCTAAGGCAGGAAGATTATAAGTTTAAGCCCAGCCTGGGCAACTCAGCAATTTATCAAGACCCTGACTTAAAATGAAAAATGGGCTAGGGATGCAGATGTCTGTTAGGCATCTAAGTAGAAAAGTCGCGTAGACAATTGGATATATGCATCTGTAATTCATAAACTATAAATGTGAGCGTCTCAGGGCATAAATGGTGTTTAAAGCCATGGACCAAATGGGATTATCAAGGGCCGGGGATTTAGCTCAGTGGTTCTGCTGCCTGCTTTGCAAGCGCAAGGTCCCGAGTTCAATCTCCGGTACCAAAAAAAAAAAAAAAAAAGATTGCACCAAATGGGATTATTGAGGGAAGAAGAGACTTAGTAGAGAAAAGGGTGAGGAGTAAATCCTAGGATCCTCCATCATTTAGGGAAGATGAGGAAGACTAAATGGTCCTTGAGATCAGTGAAGAACTGAGAGAGGCTTGTGTCCCAGAAGCCAAAGGAAAAGTAGATTTCAAAGGGGGTATAATGTACTATAGCAGCCATGTCAATGAACCATAAGAATGAGTAAGATGAGGACTAAACCTGATATGTTTCTATGAAATGTTCATTCTGTTTCTCTTAAGTATATTAAATGAAAAGGAAACTATATTTTTTGTAATAAGTAGAAGAGTTATATTTGCTGGAAAAAGAAGATAATTGTGATTGAGAGTTCAGCTAGGTGGTAGAACTTGTGCTTAGCTTATGTGAGACCTTGAATTCAGTCTCCAGCACCAGAGAGAGAAACAAAGACAGAGAGGAGCGAGGGATGTAGTTCAATGCAAAGGCCCTGGTTTCAATTCCCCTTGCTGCAGAAGAGGAGGGGGCCAGAAAAGAGGCAAGGAAAAATAATAATTGTTAAAATAAATGATAACAAAATAGTACTGTTACTCTTACTGATAGCTACTGCTGCCTGAGGCCTCCTAGAGATTGGCATTACTAGAGAAATCTTAAAGTCTCTAATGCCAATAAGAAAATAGAAAATATTGGGCCAGGGATTTACCTCAGTGGTTCTGCCCCCTGCCTCGAAAGTGCAAGGTCCTGAGTTCGATCACCGGTACCAAAAAAAAAAAAGAGAGAATACAAAAAATTGAAAGTAACTTTCTTATAATATTATGCAATAGCTCAGCAGTATAACTCCTTTAAAATCTCATGTATTGGCCCTGTGTTTTACAAAATGCTGCACTAACCTGCTTTTGTCTTTTAATCTTTTGCTAATTCCATGACCCAGAATAAAAGCTGGGACTCAGTGGTGCTTTTCCTTCCTCAGGGAGTGTCTTAGATCACAGTTTGGAAAGCCTCCTCCACCGCCTTCGTGGTCTGTGTGACAACATGGAACCTGAGACTTTCCTTGACCATGAGATGGTGTTCCTCCTTAAGGGCCAGCAGGCCAGCCCGTTTGTCCTCAGGACCCGGCGCTCTCTGGACAGGGCAGGGGCACCCTGGCATCTGCGCTACCTGGGACAGCCAGAAATGGGCGACAAGAACCGCCATGCCCTGGTGCGAAACTGCGTGGACATTGCCACGTCTGAGAACCTCACCGACTTCTTGATGGAAATGGGATTCCGCATGGACCATGAGTTTGTCGCCAAGGGACACCTGTTCCGTAAGGGCATCATGAAGATTATGGTGTACAAGATTTTCCGCATCCTTGTGCCAGGAAACACAGACAGCATTGAGGCCTTGTCACTCTCCTATCTTGTGGAATTAAGTGTTGTTGCCCCGGCCGGCCAGGACATGGTCTCTGATGACATGAGGAACTTTGCTGAGCAATTGAAACCTCTGGTTCACTTAGAGAAAATAGATCCCAAAAGGCTCATGTGACTACGTGAGTCTGTCTGTCCCTCACCCCTGTTAGAAAAAAGATGATGTAAATGCTTCATTTCACCACTGCCAGGCAGGCATTATTCCTTCAGGAAGAAGGGTGGTGAGGATGTTGTTAGTTCTGTGCATGTTTTCTTCATGTGGTGGTTTCACTTTCATGGTGACTTTGTGTGTGCGTGTGTGTGTGTATTGAAGCCAGGGCCTTTATACTGAGCTACATACCCAGCCTTTTTTTGAGACAGGGTCTCGCTATATGGTTGAGGTTGCCCTTGAACTCACTATGTAGTCCAGGCTGGTCTCAAATTTGTGGTGATCCTCCTACCTCAGCCTCCTCAGTGCTGGGACTACAGGCATGCTACACCTGGCTTGCCTTTTTAAATTAAAGTCTCAGAATAACAAGGAGAATCTGGCTAATCCCTCTGCATGAAGAGGGAAAATTGGAGTAAATTAACTTTTGTATTTTTTTTTGTATTGGAGTAAAATAGCTTTTGGCAAGAAGTCTTGTTTCCCCATTTGTGATAAGGCAGCGATGGCAAATGTTTTAGATCTTTCGATGATACAAACAGCGCACTGTGGCACATGTGCCATAGATTTGCCACCACTGATATAAAGGTTGTAATGTAGAGTCTAAGTTCGTGTTGTATAGTAATAAAGGCTATAACGAGAAATGTCTGTAATCCTTTACTCTCCTAACTCTCCAAATTTAGGAGAGTTTATCAGTTGTAGCAAAAAAGATTTTTTTTTAAAGATAGTTTTTGTTTGGTACCGGGGATCAAACTCGGGACCTTGTGCTTATGAGGTAGATGGTGGCACCACTGAGCTAAATCCCCGGCCCACTTTTTGTTTTTTAAGGTAGAGTTTCTCCATGTAGCTCAGGCTGGTCTCAAACTCACTGCCCAGGCTGTCCTGAAACTCACAGCAATCCTTCTGCCTCAGCCTCTGCGTGCTAGGATTATAGACCTACACCACCATGCCTGGCTCCCCTTGCTTATTTTATTTTATTTTATTTTATTATTTTTTTTTTTTTGGTACTGGGGATCGAACTTGGGTTCTTGCACTTGCAAGGCAGGCGGTGAAACCGCTGAGCTAAATCTCCAGCCCTACCCTTGCTTATTTTAAACACTGAACTGTACCTCTCTCCCAATATCTGTTTATATCCTTGGCCTATTTTTTTTTCTGTTTTATTTCCAGTTTTGCTGATTTGCAGGAATTTTTGTATAATCTTTTGGTTTCGGTGTTTTTTCTGCAAGTATCTTCTCTCAGTCTGCCATCTTCGTGTTAACTTTTTGAGATGTCATTAATTTACCAGATGTCTTAAATTTGGGGGGGGGGTTGTTACTGCTTTTTGTAGTACTGGGGATTAAAACCAAGACTCTGGTAGGGCAGGCAAGCCCTCTAGCAGTCAGCCACCTCTCAGCATGTGTCCTAATTTTGACTTTTTGGTTTGGAATCTTGTTTTAACATCTTATTTACCCATAGGTATTACAGATTTTCCTATTTTTTTTTTTCACATTAGCTTTATGTTTTTAACGTTCACATTTAGGTCTTTATTCCGTCTGGAGCCCATCTGTTTTTTGGTGGTGGTGGGGTACTGGGGATCAAACTCAGGACCTTGCACTTATAAGGCAGGCACGTTGCCACTGAGCTAAATCCCGGGCCCCTGGAGCCCATCTACATAGCTTCAAGTAAAAGTCCAACTTCTTACAAAATTTAGAAATTAGAGGGCTGGGGATTTAGCTCAGTGGTTTCGCCGCCTGCTGCACAAGCACAAGGACCCACGTTCGATCCCCAGTACCAAAAAAAAAAATTTAGGAATTAGTGTTCCTGTCACTCTCTGAAAAGCAGTCTTTGCAGGGCTTTGTGATTTCATCTTTATCACATTGTTTCCATGTATATACTTTATTCCTAAGCCCTCCACTTGATTCCATTGGTCTTTTTCTTTGTTAAATATCAGCAACATGTTTTGTTTTGTGTTTTTTGGTACCGGAGATTGAACTCAGGACCTTGTACTTGCGAGGCAGGCTCCAGAACCACTGAGCTAAATCCCCAGCCCAGGCACCTTTGTTTTACTGCTTAAGACAGACTTTGCTTTCATAGGCATTTATTCTTTCATATTCAGTCTACAGTATTGCTGGATTTCACTAACATGTCTAGATTAATTGGGAGAGAAATGACATCTTCCCATGGAACACTCCCTTCCCAGAATTCAGGGTGGCTGGCTTCCTTTTCCTCTGCTAAAATGTTGGAGAAGCTTTCCTAACCGTCTGAAATTAGCATGAAAAAAATTAGCTAGCATGCTCACCCCCTGCCACTCTACTCTCTATCTCTTTTTCTTATTATTTTTTTTCACAGCATTTATTCTAGTTTTTTGTTCATGCTACATGAGATCCATGAGGGCAGGTGCTTTAATTTGCTCTCTACTGTATCCGTAGCACCTAAAAGACTGACAGTCCCATGGTTTGTTTTTGTGTTTGTTTTTGTTTTTTGAGACAGGGTCTCTCTGTGTAGTTCAGACTGGCCTTGATCTCATTATGTAGCCTAGACTGGCCTCAAATTTGCAGCAGTCCTGCCTCAGCCTCCTGAGTGCTGGGATGACAGGTGTGCACCACCACACCTGACTGGCACTCTATGTTTTAAACAAGTGAATAAATAATATCATTAAAGTGTTGAGGTCATCTTGGTATTTATTCAGGCCAGGCTGTTGTTTTTTTAGTTTTAGTTTTTTGGTTTTTTGGGGGGTTTTTTTGGTACCAGGGATCAAACTCGGGTCCTTGTGCTTGCGCAGCAGGCAGTGAAACCACTGAGCTAAATCCCTGTCCCAGTTTTTGGGTTTTTTTCAGTCCTAGAGATTGAACCATGGTCCTTTGCACTGAGCTACATCCCCAGCCCTTTATTTGTTTGTTTGTTTGTTTATTTACTTACTTGGAGGGAGGTTTGAGATAAGATCTTGCTATGCAGTTCAGACTGGCCTTGAAATTTGTAGCAATCCTCCTGCCTCAGCTTCCCAAGGGCTGGGATTACAGGCATGCACCTCCACACCTGGCCTGTTTTTAATTTTGAGACAGGGTCTTGCTGATTTGCCCAGGCCTCCTACCTCAGCCTCCCAGAGTGCTGGGATCATAGGCCTGTGCCATCACGCTGGTTTATTCAAGTCCTTATGTTGCTGAAGATAGTTTAAAATTTTTCTTGACAAATGTCTTAGGCATTGCTTTGAGGTTAACTGCTGTAGTGTATTAGTCAGCAAACTATACTTGTGCATGTCAGCCTGTCACCTGTTTTTTGTTTGTTTGTTTTTGGTACTGGGAATCAAACTCTGGGACCTTGCGCTTGCCAAGCAAGCAGCAGAACCACTGAACTAAATCTCTGGCCCCTGTCACTTGTTTTTATTAATAAAGTTAAGTTGGAAGACATCCATATTCATTGAATATTGTCAATAGCTGCTTTTGTACTATAATGACACATTCTATTTGAGTACATACAACAGTGATCACATGACCTGCAAAATTAGAAAGAAATATTTACTGTTTAGCCTTTTATGGAAAAAGATTGCTCATCCCTCCAATATAATACAGTTTAGTTGGTAATACAGATAGGATTGGGGGGGTTGGTATGTTGGGTTTTTTGTTTGTTTGTTTGGCAATACTGGGAGTTCAACACAGGGTCTTTGCACTGAACTGTATCCTCAGCCCTTTATTCTTATTTTCAGACAGGCTCTTGCTGAATTGCCCACCCAGGTGGGACTCAAACTTTCGATCCTCTTGCCTCAGCCTCCCCAAATCCTGCTATTATAGATGTGTACCACCATGCCTGGCCCTTTATCACATTTTGTTTTCTTGTTTTTTCTATTTTTTTTTCTCCACCCTCTTATCACTTTATTTTTTTGTCAGGGATCGAACTCCTTCCTCTTTCGAGGCAGGCAGCAGAACCACTGAGCTAAATCCCCGGCCCCTCATCACATTTTTAAGGTGGTTATTCTTGTTACAGAAATGTATAAACAGGCACAGTGGTGCATGCCTATAATACCAGCACTCCGGAAAGTTGACACAGGAATATTGCAAATTTGAGCCCAGCCTGGGCAATTTAGCAACTTAGACCTTGTCTCAAAATAACAATAAAATAATAATAATAATAATAATAATAATAGTAAAAGGTGTCTGGAATGTAACTCACTTAAAAGCCTTAGGTTCAAAAGATTGGGTTCAATCTCCAATACAAAAAAAAAAAAAAAGAGGGAGAACAGCCTGGGAATGTAGCTCAGTGATAGAATACTTGCCTAGTATGATGTGGTTCTAGCACCTAAAAAAACAAATCAACAAAATTTAGGGCTGGGGACTTAGCTCAGTGGTGCCACTGCCTGCCTCGAAAGCTCAAGGTCCCAAGTTCAATCCCCAGTACCAAAAAAAAAAAAATTTAAAGTTCAGGGAGCTTGCCTAATGATTCTGTTTTGTTTTTCAAGTAGACCATAAAACTAGCAAGCAGTGGCTGTTGTATCTTTTACTTTTCTATCAATTCTTACATATTTCTTTTACTTTTTTCTTGTCTGAAAGTATTGGCCTGGGCCAGGGATTTAGCTCAGTGGTTCCGTTGCCTGCTTCACAAGCACAAGGTCCCGAGTTCGATCTCCGGTACCAAAAATAAATAAATAAAAATATTGGCCTGACTCTTCCATACTCTAGGAGACCCTCGTGTTAATAATGAGCACCCATAACATAGTCTGAGGTTAATGCTATTCCATCAGGTTTCTTAAGTATGAAGAAAAAATAAATCGTGATTTTTTTTCTTTTATCCTTTCATCCATGAATGTGATTGAATGATATTGACAGATTTTCTGCTGTTGGCCATTGTTTTACTACTGGGATAATTCTTATATAAATACCCTGTTGAATTTGGTTGCCTATTATTTTATTGAGGATATTTGCATTTTTAATTCCTTAATTTCTATTCCATGATCTATGCAATCTGACTATTCCCTCTTAACGTTCTCTGCTGGAACTGCAATCTCAGCACTGCCCTGGACACTAGGGTACACCAATGGTTGAGCTATAGTCCCTGTTTTTAACAGCTTTCCTCTAATGACAGGAACAGATATTTGTACAATTTGTATAGTCATAAGAGTTATGCAACTAGAGGGCTTCTTTCCAAGGTAAATGGATTGTGAACCCTGGTCAAGCAGGTCAGCTTCCTTTTCCTTGGATATACCCCAGTGCTCTTGCTTATCCCTTTACCTCAGCCTTTTCTGCTGATTTTTGGTACATGACTCCTGCACAAAAGCAAGATGGAACCATATAAAGATTGTGCCAGTGACTAAGAGCACAGCCCCAAATGTAGGCTGTGCCTCTTACTACAGTAGTTATATGCCGGGGCATAACGTATCGCCTCTCAAAGAACCCATTTCCTTATCTGTCAAATTGCGAATAATGATCAGACCTTCATTACAAGAGGACACAGCAAGCTAAACTGTGAAGGCTTTTAACACTAGGCCTGACAGGTTGCCAGGGTAAACCAGGGTTTTCCACTTCTGTCCTTCTGTTATTATTCCTGGCCCACAAGGTCATGGAAGTTTTTCCTTCTGACTATGTGTATGTGGGGGGGAGTACTGGGTATGAAACCTGGGGCACTGTACTTCTGAGCTACATCCCCACCCCTTTTTACTTTTTTATTTGGAGAC